TGAACCTAAGTTGTAACAACTCTTGTCGACTTTTGTTTCATAACTCGTTTGACTTCAAGACTATGATACGGATTTTTATGATTCATATACCTTAAAATAAGACCTCTTGAGAGTATTAAGCACCCCTAGGTTTACCCAAAAATACGGCTGACAACATTCTTGATTCGTTTAACTTCTAATACTTGTTAACCACCCTTATACACTTTTGTATCATTTAAGACCAATAGGATTAACCTCTTATCATCTTAGAGATAATCTCTTCATGGATTTACGTCGACGTCCTTATGTCATGAACTAACGTATATGAATATGGGTTGTAACATTTTTCTTATCTCTCTCTTTTTAGTTCTAATAATGCAGACTTAAATAACATGACATGCTTGTGGACATCATGCCCAGATCCTAACACGCTGTCTAACTGTGAAATAATGAATCAAGAACCAGAATATGATGAAGATGAGGCTTTTAGAGAAATAAATTGAGAACTGGAATAATTTGAGAATAAGCCTAATCCAAACTTAAATGAAACCGAGCCAGTTAATTTGGGTAGTCCAGAAGAGGTCCAGGAGACCATGATAAGCATTCACGCTGATGAAAGAACTAGAGATGCATTGATCCAACTTTTGTTCAAATTCAAAGACGTGTTTGCCTAGTCCTATGATGATATGCCAGGACTGAGTGGTGATTTGATAGTGCACAAATTTCTAACTTATCCCGGTTATCCACTTGTCCAACAAAAGCAGAGAAAGTTTAAAACAGACATCAGTGATAAGATCAAAGAAAAAGTCACCAAACATTTGAAAACTGGTATGATCCGAGTGGTCCGATACACCACGTGGTTGGCTAAAGTGGTCCCAGTTCCGAAGAAAGAGGGGAAACCCGAGTGTGTGTTGATTATCGGGATTTGAACAAAGCAAGCCCTAAGGACAACTTTCCATTACAAACATCCACATTCTTGTTGACAATTGTGCCAAACATGAGATACAGTCTTTCGTAGACTGTTATGTTGGGTATCACCGGGTTCTGATGGATGAAGAAGACGCGGAAAAGACGGCTTTCACCACACCCTGGGCGCATACTGTTATAGGGTCATGTCATTTGGTTTAAAGAATACCGGGGCAACTTACATGAGAGCTATGACCACCATATTTCATGACATGATGCACCAGGAAATTGAGGTATATGTGGATGATGTGATCATTAAATCCAAAACTCAGGACGACCATGTGCGGGATCTAAGAAAGTTCTTTGAGCGTCTGCATAAGTATGACATGAAGTTGAATCCAGCTAAATGTGTATTCGGAGTTCCATCTAGGAAACTTTTGGGGTTTATAGTCAGTCAGAGGGGCATCGAGCTAGATCCAACAAAGATAAAGTCTATTCGGGATTTTCCCCCTCCGAGAACCAAGAAAGAGGTCATGAGTCTGCTAGGAAGATTGAATTACATCAGCAGGTTCATTGCTCAGCTGAATACCATGTGCAAGCCTATCACGACCCAATTTCTAAACCCGGTCATGATGGCGCCTCTCGTGAAGACAAGGCCAGCCAACTAACCCAAATCGTCTCTTTAACATTTATTAAACATAAACGAATAGGTGAATATAGCTTAACGACAATAATAACTAGTATGTACAACCCAACACAACCCGACCGGGGTGTCACAAGTCACGAGCATCTAAATAAACCTGAACACAACTACAGGGCCAATAATAATATATAAAGAAAAATTCTGGAAAATCAAAAGACAACATCCGGTGCCGCGAATGCTGGCGGTCACCTTGCTCAGCTACAATAGCCCTACCTTCAATTAGCTAATAACCCGCTACCCGGTGAACAATACCTGCAACTGCACGCGAGGTGCAGGGAGTAAAATGAGTACTTCCAACTCAGTGAGTAATAAGAGTAAATAATAACTGAGAGGCAAGAAATCACGTAAGAGCACTCCATCATGCTATATAGGACAGTACAACTCTTTGAGAAAACAGTAAAACCGTGAAAATCCTTGAGAAAATATCTAGCTCAGTTTAAAACCTCTTTTGAAAACATCTTTTTCCAACAGTCAAGCAAATGAATGCGTAATCAGATAGTGCAAGTCCGCACATAAGTCAGCCCCTCGGGCACAGCACTCCACAAACAATTAACACCAGGGCGTCTGGTAAACAGTACAAGAAGTAGCATGGATGCCAGTGATATGAGAGTGCTGAATGTCATGACACGTAGTACAAATAGGAACCAATGCATGAATGCAATGCAATGCATATGACCGCTGCGGCGCGCAGCCCGATCCATTTGGGTACCCGCGCTCACTGTGGGGGTTCAGACTCCGGAGGGGCTCCTACAGCCCAAGCGCAATATCAATATCACACCGCTGCGGCGCGCAGCCCGATCCATCCTCAGTCCAGAAATACACATAAGCCCATTGGGCAATAGTAAAATAACAGTTCTCAACTCAAAACGTTAGTAAAATATCATTTAAGTTTTCAAAATCTTAGAAAGGTGGCTAAGTTTGTGAAACAGTATGTAAAACCTTGGACCGAGATCAAATAATATACAAAGTAATGCAAAAACAGTGATATCAATCCCTGAAGGATTCAAATCGGCACGAAGCCCAAAACATGGCAATCAGCCCAAATCATGATAGCATCAAATAAGTTTCAGTCAATTACGCAATAAAACCAACAACCGGGACGGACCAAGTCACAATCCCCAACGGTGCTCTACCCCACGCTCATACCTGGCATGCAAGTCACCACAATACAGCACTATGATGTGCAAATCCGTGGTTTCAAACCCTCAGGATATCATTTACAAGTATTACTCACCTCGAACCGGTGAAATCTCAAACCCGCGACGCCTTTGCCCCTCAAATCGGCCTCCACGCGCGCCGAATCTAACCAAAATCAGAGCGAATACATCACAATATGCTAAGGAAACATAACCCAATCGAAAAGACTCGAAAAATATCGAAAATCATGAAGTTGGCAAAACCCGAGCCCTGGGCCCACTTCTCGAAAAATTACAAAATTCACATCACCGGATTCCTTATCTTCTCACGAGTTCATACATACTAAGAACATCAAAATCCATCCACAATTGACCCTTCAAATCCCAATTTAAAAATTTGAAAATTCCAAGCCCTATTCCTCCATTTTAGCAAAAATTCAATGATTTCCTGGATGGATTTCACAATAAAAACGAGTTTTGAGTCCAAGAAACTTACCTCCAAACGTTCCCCCTTGAATCCCTCGTTAATCTCCTTCAAGAATCTCCAAAAACGAGCAATTATGGGTGTAAAATGACCCTAAAATCGCGACTGACGTGTTTTAAAATATTCTGCCCAGGTATTTACTCTTCGCGATCGCGGAAAATGCTTCGCGATCACGGAGAACAATTTTTCCAGCCCAAAATTTACTCTTCGCGATCGCGGACAATGCTTCGCGATCGCGATGAACAGTTCCCAGCTCTTCCGGACAGCCTCCAGTATAGTGGTCATAACTTTATGCACACAACTCCAAATTACAAATGGTTTGATGTTCTGAAAACTAGACACATAGGGCTATAATTTCATAAATTGCTCATATCCTGACTCCTTATACATTGCGAGATATAAGCTTCCAAAGTCATCCCTGTGTATTAGAGACCTTCCCGAGCAGCCTATAGTGTAACCACCATAACTTTTTGTACACAACTTTAAATTCTAATTAATTTACATTTCTAAAAACTAGACACAAAGGACTACAATTTTCATTTATGGATCATCTCCAAATTCCTTATAGATTGTGAGGTATAAGCTTCCGAAGTGGGATCAACGCAACAGAATATTTCTTCTCCGCGATCGCAAAAGGCTTCACGCGATCGCGGTTCATTGGCACGTTTCTCACATTTTACTCACCGCGATCGCGATCGCGACCAGTTCCCCGCGATCGCATAGAACACTGCTGTAGCCAAAAACCAGCAGTTAAAAATGGCCTTGAAATGGTCCGAAACCACCCCGAAACTCACCCGAGGCCCCCGGGACCTCAACCAAAAGCACGGACATATCCCATAACATCATTCAAACTTGTTCCAATCATCAAAACACATCAAATAACGCTAAAACCATCAAATCACATCGGATTCAAGCCTAAGTTCTTCAAAAACTTCCGAAATGCACTTTCGATCAAAAAGTCTACCAAACCTCGTCCGAATGATCTGAAACTTTGCACGCACATCCCAAATAACATAATGGAGCTACTGCAACTCTCGGAATTCCATTCCGACCCCTATATCAAAATCTCGCCTATCAATCGGAATTCGCCAAAATACTAACTTCGCCAATTCAAGCCTAATTCTACACCGGACCTCCAAAATAAATTCCGATCACGCTCCCAAGTCACAAATCATCTCCCGAAGCTAACCGAATCACCGAAAATCACATCCGAGCCCTCTAACTCATAAGTCAACGTCCGGTTGACTTTTCCAACTTAAGCCTTCTTAAAAGAGACTAAGTGTCTCATTTCTTATCAAAACCAATCCGAATCAACTCTAACTCACCACATACCGGTAATGAAGAAGAAGTAATAAATGAGGAAAACGGGGCAGTAATACCTGATACGACGGGTCGGGTCGTCACAAAGCCCATATTTAAGCTATTGAAGAAAGATGTGGTAATCAGATGGACGAATGAGTGTCAAGAAGCTTTCGACAAAATCAAAGAATATCTATCGAATCCACCAATGTTGGTCCCACCCGAGCTTTGGAGACCTTTGTTATTGTACCTTACAGTCCTAGAAAATTCTTTCGGTTATGTCCTGGGGAAACATGATGTGACCGGGAAGAGAGAGCAAGCCATATAGTATTTGAGCAAGAAGTTCACTAGTTATGAAGCCAAGTACACTTTGTCGGAAAGAACTTGCTGCGCCCTAACTTGGGTCTCCCAGGAGCTTAAGCATTATTTGTTGGCCTACACCACATATCTCATAACTAGAATGGATCCTTTGAAATACATATTCCAAAAGCAGATGCCCACAGGAAGGTTAGCAAAATGGCAAATCCTGCTCACCGAGTTTGACATAGTTTATGTCACCCGCACGGTGATGAAAGCTCAAGCCTTGGCGGATCACCTAACTGAGAATCTTGTTGATGATGAATATCGACCCTTGAGTACTTACTTTTCGGACGAGGAATTAAATTCAATTGAGGTAATTCCAAAAGACACCAATGCTTGGAAAATGTTCTTTGACGGAGTCGTAAATGCAAAAGGTGTCGGGATTGGGGCAATTTTGATTTCGCCCACTGGTCAGCACTATCCGGCCACAGCCTGACTTCGTTCTTCTGTACGAACAACACTGCCGAGTATGAAGCTTGCATTATAGGCATGAACATGGCAGTTGACCTGGATGTGGAAGAATTATTAATCATGGGAGATTCCAACTTGATTATTCGACAAGCTCAAGATAAATAGGAAACCCGAGATATCAAGCTCATCCCATACAGGCAACATGTAGAAGATCTTAGAAAACGGTTCAAGTCTATGGAGTTCAGGTATATTCCTCGGTTCCTCAATGAGTTAGCTGATGCACTGGCTACTTTGGCCTCAATGCTGCCGTATCCAGGCAATGTCCACATTGACCCGCTGGAAATCCAAATCCGAGAAAGACATGGTTACTGCAATATAGTTGAAATAGAACCAGATATTCAGCCATGGTATCATGATATCAAAAGATTCTTGAAAACAAAAGGAATATCCCGAGCAAGCCAGTGGAGACCAAAAGAGAACCATTAGGAGGCTCGCCATCAGTTTTTTCTTGAGCGGAGAGGTCTTGTACAAAAGAATTCCAGATTTGAATCTTTTAAGGTGCATAGATGCCCAAGAGGCTGGAAAATCATGAATGAAGTGCATTCAGGAGTATGTGGACCCCAAATGAACGGATATGTCCTTGCAAAGAAAATCCGTCGGGCAGGTTATTATTGGATGACCATGGAAAAGGACTGCTTCAGTTTTGTCCGCAAGTGCCATCAATGTCAGATACATGGTGACCTGATTCATGCACCGCCTTCAAAATTGCATCCTATGTTTGCACCTTGGCCGTTCGTCGCTTGGGGTATGGATGTCATTGGGCCGATCGAGTCAAAAGCTTCAAATGGGCACAGATTCATCTTATTTGCCATTGACTATTTCACAAAGTGGGTTAAAGCAGTCACTTTCAAAGCCGTCACCAAGAAAGCGGTGGTGGACTTCGTGCATTCCAACATTATTTGTCGTTTTGGTATTCCTAAGACTATTATTACAGACAATGCTGCAAACCTGAGCAACCATTTGATGAGGGAGGTATGCGAACAATTTAAGATTACGCGTCAAAATTCTACCCGTTATCGGCCCAAAGCTAATGGTGTTGTTGAAGCGACAAACAAGAATATCAAGAAGATCCTCAGGAAAATGATTCAAAGTTCTAGACAATGGAATGAAAAGCTGCCTTTTGCACTGTTGGGATACCGCACAACCGTGCACACATTAGTTGGGGCAACACCCTATCTATTGGTTTATGGCACTAAAGCTGTAATACTTGTAGAAGTTGAGATTCCCTCTCTTCGAATCATTGTTGAAGCTGAGATTGAGGATAATGAATGGGTCAAGACATGTTTAGAATAATTAACCATGATTGATGAAAAACGGATGGCCATAGTTTGCCAAGGGCAGCTGTATCAACAAAGAATGGCCCGTGCCCACAACAAGAAAGTGCGGCCTAGAAACTTTGAAGTTAGGCAGCTTGTTCTAAGGCGTATTCTCCCGCATCATGAGGAATCAAAAGGAAAATTCGCTCCAAATTGGACAGGTCCGTACATTATAAGAAAACTGTTGCCAAAAGGGGCATTGTACTTGGGAGACATTGAAGGAAATGACCCCGAAACAACTGTCAATGCGGATGCGGTCAAAGGTATTATATTTTACCCTTTTTGCGGTATTAATACTCTCCGATTAGGATGACGAAGGCTTTCATTCTCGCTACCCAAACACTATCAACCCTTTGCAAACCCTTTGAGTCGGTTACTTTTCTTTGATCACCCTCTTTGGAACCCAAAAATGTTATAAAAAATAGAAAAACAAAAGAAAAATAAAAAACAAACTTTCCTGAACTACATTCGACTTGATTCCGAAAGGATATATAGGCAGTCTCTCTCTGGGGTTCAGTCACACCAAAATAAAAATACAAATTTCCCCAAAAGTGAAACTGGGGTAGATGTTATAATGGTTCAGCGATGATTTCGCTTGAAGGGTTCCAAAGTTGTAATTCAATCCAATTTTTTTTACCCAAATCCTGTTCAAGTCCTTCAGATCAATCGGTAGAGATGTACAAAATCGGAGGATATAGTTACTTGGATCTGATACAACCAAATGAGAGAAATTGGAAAATGAGAGAGTCTTATTGGTGAAAACCCACATGGGCATCATAGGGGCGACGGTAAGCAGAGAAATTGAAAAATGAGAGAGTCTTGTTAGTGAAAACTCGCAAAGAGCACTATAAGGCAACGGTGAGAAGAGAAATGAGAGAGGTTAGCTCGTGAAAACCCGCAAAGGGTGCCACTAATCGAAAAGGGGGATCCTCACAGCCATCAGTATTAGGGGTGGGCATAATACCGACCGAACCGAAAAAACTGGACGAACCGTGATTTTCGGTTTTTTGATTTCGGTATAATCGGTTTTTCGGTCGGTGCACGGTTTTAAAATTATTAATTTTCGGTTTTTTGGTGCGGTTTACAATTTTTGTATTTCGGTTTTCGGTTAAACCGAAAAACCAAAATTTCGATTGATTGTGATGATGTGTTAATTCTTTTGAAATTAAAATTGATGGAGCAAAGGGAACTTTGAGTGTAACGGGTGATGCTGATTCATATGAGGTCATTGTGAGATCGAGGAAAGCTGGGAAATTTGCGGAGGTGGTGAGTATTGGGCCTCCACCAGCTCCTCCAAAACCAGATGGACATAAAAAGCCCGAAGAGAAGAAGCCTGAGCAGAAGCCCAAACCCCAGGCCCAGATGTATGATCCTCCCCCTCCAATTATGCCTCCTTTCTGTGCAGTCTGTCATGGAACAACACCAGTTGTTAGTCATGTGATGCATAGGGAAGAACACACCCCACAATGCTCTATTTTGTAGTAGCTCTTAGTTGCACAATTTTGAAAGAATAAAAGAAAAGTCCAATAATGTGGTTAATATGATTTTTTCTCTTCAAACATGTCCTATTCAAAAAAACCAAGCTACTGTCATGTCTAATAAACTAAAAATTCAGATAAGAAAAATAGTCGTCAATTGGCCAATTTCTACGACCTGCTGCACGAAATAGCCACTTCTAGTTTATTTTGAAAATGGTCTATTATATACATCCCAGTCCTTCCTTTTATTGAAATAGTCACATTTGAAATGAATGAATTCAAAAACTGGACCCAATGGAGTTTCTGACTAACTTCTATCGAGTATGTGCTAATGAGGTACCATTGCATTGAAATACAGATAAAACATCCTCGTTCCAGAACATCCAATTTCCTTAAACCGTAAACCACACCGAAATGAACTAAATTTCATTGGTCCAATAGTATTTCCAGCCATTGCACTAAATGACAGTTACACTAGTTTCGTTTCTAATTTTCTTGAACCGTTTAAAACCGAAAAAATAAACCGAAAATAACCGAACCGAACTTTGAAAAAACTGCACTGAACCGTAAATACTTTGGTTTGATTTGGTTATTAATATTACAAAACCGAAAATCGATAAACCGAATCGTACTTTCATAATAACCGACCGAACCAACTGACGCCCACCCTTAATCGGTATCGACAAAGTGCGGGCAAGGTTTCTCAGTTTTGAGGTATGAGTTATGATGGGTTTATGAGAGTTGGACAGTTTACACAGATCGGGTATCCAGTCCAAAAGGTATGTCATGTTCATTAAAGTCCACATGTACTCCAGATAAGTCCTTCTTTTCTTTCCCCGAAAGGGACACCTCTCGTTTGAATTCATTTTCCTGTCCATTGTTTATTTTTCTTTGAATCCCTTTTCAGCCTAACTCTGTTCCGAATTAAAACAAAGAAAATATGGCAAGATTGGTTTACAGGGTTTTGTTTGACAAAAGTCAAAATTCAAGAAAGCACCCAGCCTCAGCAGGTGCATCAAGTCGACCTCGACTGGCCATGATGGGCGATGCTTCGGAGTCAGAAACTCCTAAAACGAAAGGAAATCGAAGTCAAATGCCCATAAAGTCAAAATAAGGCAGAAAAGGGCCAAGTCCCATACGGGTTAACCATCACGTTAAACCTTGGGAAAAGTCAAGATCCCCGGGTTTAGGAATGAAACAAATCCCCAGAAAGCAAGCAAGCAATTGAGATCTTTATTGAAGGAGCCGGGCCAAGATCAAGTGATTAAAATGCTCAAGGCCACAAAACCAACCATTGTTTCAAACTGACAAATTGTTCTTTGTTTGAAAAGCAGGAAAAAACAGGTGCAATTCAAAGCAACCTTGCAAGAAGCAGGTGCGACAAAAGCAAAATCACAGAGACCAAAATGGTTCTGCAACAAAAGTCAACTCGAAAGGGAAGTCCCCTCCAAATTCTTTATTCATTCTCCTAAATAAAAATGAAAAGTGAAATCCAAAGAAAGAAAAGAAGAAAAGTTCAAAGCCATGGCAGTATAGGGTCACCAACCCCTAACTGCATCTTTTTCCAACATAGGATCCCATTCCCTAGTTGATGCCAGCATAACCTGATGACTTTTCCAACATAGGTTCCCACTTCCTAGTTGATGCCACTATAACCCGATGACTTTTCCAACATAGGGTCCCACTCCCTAGTTGATGCCAGCATAACCTGATGAGTTTTCCAACATAGAGTCTCACTCCCTAGTTAATGCCAGCATAACCTGGTGATTTTTCCAACCTAGGGTCTCCAACCCTTAGTTGATTTCATTTTAGATACAGGGTTTCCACTCCCTAATCTCTTTTTCCCATGGATACACAATCCTGATCTTTATAGCTTTCAATAATGAAGTAGTATAAAGTTTTGGCTACAAATAACTCACGAGATTTTCCTAGTGAAAACTAGGGCAGAAAAATTTCGTTCGTTTATTTGTTTTGGTGTCTGAACAGGTTATACCTCGAGGCACAGGGTTCGAGACGACCAAAAGAAGAAGTCTCAATCCGGAATAAATAAAAAGAAGGAAAGAAAAGAAGTGAACTCAAAATGCAGAAGCGGAGAAGAGATGTGGACTACTCAAGACATAATTGAAGTCACAAGCTTTGCATGTCCCGCCTTGATCCGAAAAGCTGAAGAAGAATGAACCAGCACTCGCAGCTAACAAGCATAAAGATTCATATCAGAGTCTGCATGAAGAACCAGCCAAGATTCAAGATCAAGCTTCAGAAGGTTTGTAGATAGGAATCTTGTAACTCGTAGCTGATAGGTTTAGTTAGTTTTTGTTCATTTTGATTTTGGTGTAGTGAGGATCTCAACAAGAAGAAACAACAGCAACAACAGTGAAATCACAGCTATTCGGTAGTCCTAGCTATCAAAACTTTCAGAAGTACACTAACCTGATTCCTTTATAGCCAAGGATATGTAGGCAACCTCCGAAGCAAGGTTCAGTCAAACTTTTTCAAATGCTTCCTAGGGAGTATCCAAATGGCAAAAAATCACTCGTTATTGCTCATTTTATCTTAGCCCGAAAACTCTTCATGTTTTCGATTAAATAGGGGCTGGTGTGAGCACGTGATTTTTGCCCGACTAGAAATACTCCTACAAAAACTAAAAAAATAGGTTTTCTACATTATTTTTAGTTTTGTAGGATTTTCTTAATTAATTGTTTGCATTTTTGTGCACATTTAATATCTTTAAAATCATAGAAAATATCAAAAAAATACCAAATCATCATTACATAGCATTTTTAGGCTTTATTTGTATTTAAAATTTAATTGCATAAGTTAATTGCATTTATTAAACAGAAAATCACAAAAAAAAATTGTCATGTTACATTTTAGCCTTAGCTTTAAATTAGTAATTTCATTTCATTAGTTTTAAATTGATTAGTTATTCAAATATTAGAAATAGTTAATTAATTTTATTTCACAAATTAGATTTTAGGTTTTCAATTAATTAAGTTAGGATTTTTAAAATCAAAGAAAAAGAAAAGAGAAAGGATTTTTTGTTGGTTTCGATTTTGGGCCAAGATAAGGTCTAGGCCAAAATTTCCCTCATTAAGCCGCCACAATCCAGCTCAAACCCTCTAAAAAAAACGGTCCAGCTCCCACTTAACAAAACGGTGCCGTTTTAGTAACGGCGATCTTAACCGTTGATCTTGCTTGATCGAACGGCCCAGAACTCAACACTCCACCCCTTATAACTGTCCGAACGGACCCCCTAACCCCAAAACACCCCCTCATTCTCTCTTCTCTCTCAGAGACTAACCCTAGCCGCCCCTAAACTCTTTACCTTCTCCGTCGTCCTCCGTCGCCCGAAAATCGCCTCACGGTGGCGGACCACCCCCAAACCACTCCAAATTAACACCCCACAATCCCCAGCCTCCCCTCTTCACTAATCCACCGCTAGTGTTCCCAAATTCCTCACCAAGCCCGTTGAATTTCAGATCTAAGAAGTAGTGAAAACCTAGGTCTGCTTTCTCTTTGATTTTCTTCTAAAATCGGGTCCGTTTTACATTATAACTTACATCAATCGATTTTTCTCGTTGAGAGCTATTGATAGATGTTGGTTTCATAACATTTGACGGACACCAAACCCGGTCAAGAACATCACTGACTTTGCCGAAACTCCGGCAAAGTTCTTTCTTCTCCGATTCAACCTCCAAACCTCCCCAGAATCACACCTTCCTTCACCTTCAATCCAAAGACCCCATCAAAATCTTCCGATTTTCAAATCAGAGAATCCAGAAATCTTAATGACCATTGGTGTATATGGTTTTTCAGAGGTCCTCGTGCCAAAGTCCCATCAGGAACTCAAATTTTGGATGGATCTCTTGGCACAAGGACTTTTGGCGACTGGGTGATTGGTCTCAAATAGGCTGAATCCGGTGTAGGTATACCCCTTTTCTTTCTTTCTTTTTCCTTTTCCTGCTTGATATTTTCTTACTGTTATCAGTTGTTTTATTTTTCTCTTGTTTATTCTGGTTTGATTGATAAGACTGTTTAGCTAAATTACATGCAATTAGCTTAACTCATAGGTTTGTTTAATTTAATCAAATTTAGGTTAATTAGGTTGGCTATTAAGTGTTATTGCATCATTATTTCTGTTTTTCTTCTTGCTGTTGCTGTTTTTCTTTTATTTTGTTGTTTTGGAATTCAAGTCTGTTTAGGTTAATTATTCAGTAAAGTAGGATCAATTAGCTAATCGCCCTAATTCAATCATTTGCTTAGGTTTAAATCAAGATATTTGGTTTAACTAGGTTTATTTAATAAGCTGCCTTGATTTAGCTTTAGTTATTTGATTTTTTGAGGTTTTAATGGTTTAAGAGTTGAAAAGGTAATAACAAAAGTTTAAGGGAGATAATTGAAAACCAAATCAGGGAGTCCAAGTCTGGAATTGCCTAGAAGGTTCTAGAAGATTCTAGAAGGGACTAAATTGTAATGAAACAACTGAAATTAGGTGAGATTGGGGTAAAAGGATAATAGCAGGAACTTAAAGGGGGCTTAATTGGGAAATAAAAATGGATGAACTTTAGGTAAAATATCAGAAGGTTCTAGTATTGGACAGCTGTCCCTTTTTTTGGTATAAAAGATGCTGTTTTTTGGTATGAAAGATGCTGAAAATTGGTAAAAAGGATAGTTGTGCCAGGTCCGTTAAAAAGATGATGTACTATCCTCTTTTACAACTAACATTTCTAAATTTTAGGACAGAATTTTTCCTATTATGATTATCTTTGTGCATTCCATATAAAGAACAGACCCTCACTCACTAACACACATTCTTTCATCAGCATATTCACTCTGAAAATAGGCACACAATACTTAGACGGAAAAAATTCAGAATTCCATCTGGGTCTTCTACACTGATTTGTACATCAGATTTCTGGTAGAATTTATTGTTTTGGTTGCTGAGTTTGCTGGTTCTTTCAATCAAGCTGTTGTGATATTCTGGGTTTAGCTGTTCCAAAATTC